AGCGGCGTGCGAGCACCGACGCCCCCGTCCGCACCTGCCGCCGCACCTTCGCCGTCCCCGGCCTTCCGCGCCGCTCCCTGCCGCCGCGCGCGGCGCGGGGAGGCACTTCCGAGAACATGTGCCCTGTACTGTACGGCCAAGCCCCTTACAGAACAGAGCACTGTACAGAGAGCACTGTACAGAGGGCACTTACAGAACAGAGCACTGTACAGAGAGCACTGTGCGCGTGCCCGGGCCCGCGCTGCGTGACGCCCTTCACGAAAGTATGAGAGGGGACGCGGACACGCCGCAAGCACGCCGCAAGCGCCGTTTGGGCCGGCGCGCGCCATTGGGCCGCGGCGCGCAGGGCGCAGCGGCGGCGCACAGGAAAAAATCTTTTTATTTTAAAAAGCTTTTTGCTTCCGCTCGCGAGAGACGCCGCGCCCCAGATCGCCCGTATGGCGCGCCGCCCCCGGGTAGCGCGGGCGGCGTGCGCCGGTGCGGGAATCCCGCTCGCGGGGGGCTCGCGGGAGGGACGTCGGCGAGCGCCCATCCCTGCGCGAGAAGGGGCAGCGGCGGAAGGCACATCGGCGTGCACGTCTGCGCAACAGACAACAGACGTGTAGTGCCCATCCCCGCCCGAGAAGGCACACCAGACGTGCCGCCCATCCCCGCCCATCCCCGCCCATCCGGCGCGGAGCCGCCCCCCACACGGCACGCTGTAGAACAGCGTTACCCTTCGAAGGGTAGTCATCTAACCTTCCCAACAATGCCGCCGCCGCGTGCAGCCCAACAGCCGCCAGAGACACCTTTTTGACACGCCTCTGTACGAGCAAAAGCCCGGCAAAACCCCGTACAGAGACCCTGTACAGAGCACTGTCCAGTCACTGGACAGTGCTCTGCACTGGACTCGGGTTCTCCCTGCTTGTAAATAAAGTTTAACCCGACTCGGGTTCTCCCTGCTTGTAAATAAAGTTCCGGTGGTGCGCTTGTGCTGCTGCCACTCCCCCTGTACGGCAGCCACTGGCCTTGCAGCCACTGGCCTTGTGCTGTACGGCCAAAACGCCGTACAACAACACGCCACGCCACCACGCCACCTGCCTGCCGCTACGGTACTCGTACACTACAAGCGTGCACCCAAGCGTGCGCTACTACACTACACTGTACTTCCACTGCGGAGCGATCGTGCGCCTGCCTTGCACAAATAATGTGCACGCACAACCGGCGAGATATAAAAAAAAGTCAAAACAAAGGGGCAAAGCCAAGATTTTAATTTCTGTCCAGATGCACTGTCCATTACTTACAGTACTGTTGAGCCCATCTTCACACACTCCTCTTTTGCGAAAAACCCCTCTCTCTTTTCTCTCACTTGTTGCCCGCTTCCCTCTACTGTACAGTACACACAATTCAAACACACGTCCTACATGCACATCTTCATCACACTTACTATTTGCTTACTTCCCCACCACCATCTTCGCCCCTGCTTCATATATACTAATTCTTTCACTCGCTTCCCTTCATCACACCACATCCACGCCCGGAGGTGCACCCCTTTCAAACTCCCGCTTCTGCGGGTACTCCCCAATGTCGTGTGTCTCCTCCTCTCCACTATTCTTCCGTGAACTGCGTCGTAGCCCAAACCGCCGTCTCGTCCCATCTACTGTGATTCCCTGCGACATCCTCGATGCTGTGATACCAGGCATGTTCCCACTTTCTGCCTCTTTGCGGAAGAATCGTCCGAGCGTCTTGCGTCGCTCCAACGCCGACTCCACATCTTCACGTTCAGTTTCGGATCCAGATAGTTCGCTGTCCGAATCCATCTCCTGGTTCGCATGCTTCTTCGCCTGTTTCTTATTCACATTGTGAATCGCACGGATCGCCAGAGACTCGGGCACCAGACTCGCATTGTTCAGAATGAAGATAAACTTTTTGATGATCCCGGCGATTCGGAACAGCACAAACAGCAGGTTCAGAACAGCGAGAACCATCGCTGCAATGTTCCACTCGTCCATTTTCACATCAAACTTCGAATTGTTGTTTTCAACCAGGATCAGGAACACGGAACCGGTCGACGCCGCCACCAGCACTGTAGAAAAGAACATCACAAATTCCACACACCACAAAAAGAATTTGTGCGAACCACACCAGAACAGCTTCTCCACTGGGCTCGCAACGCGTGCCAAACGTGGGAACAACTTCTTCACAAACCAGTGGTACTCGTTAGGCTCCTCTTGTTTCGCGTGCTCCTGGTCCTCCATATTCTTCAGAATCGTCGCGTTCATGAATGCCAGCGATTGGTGCCGAGCAATGTCCTGAGGATCGCTCACCCCTTGCTTATACTTGCCCAAGTCGCTACTTTCCTCACTCTGCATCTCGTCAGAGATGGACCGCGACGCTGCCGCTGCAGAGCGACGTCCTGCAGACGACCCGCCACCTGGTCGCACTGATGGCATCAACCCTGAACGGTCAACAACCCGATCTTGCATTGTCTGGTTCCGCGTTGCCATTTCATCTCTGGGCATCGCCCTAGCCAGTTCAATGGAACGCTTCTTCCTCTCAGACGATCTCCGACTGTAGTCACTAGACGCCCGCCCTTCCTCATCAGTCGAAGCTCCACGCGAGGACAGCTTGGACAGCATTCTTGGGCTCCCCACAAATCTGTTTGAATCCGCAATGGGGCGCGCTCGCTCACCTGCGCCCTGGCTGTCGAGACTTCGTCGACCAAACTGGTTGTCAGACGCACGTCGGCGCGCCGCCTCTACAGCTGCAATCGCAACCGATGCCTTGCGGTTAAGGTGCGACGGCCGAGACACTGCCTCCGGACCACCAGGCCTGGACAGATCCAGCGAATGGCGTGAAACAACTTCGTCAAACTCGATCGGCACCTGCACATCTGGCTGTCCATGAGCCGGCGACTCGTATCCTGACGACGGTTGTGACTGAGGAGCAACACCAAGTGTAGTCGCTGCTCTCACACCAGTCCCGTACTTGAACTTCCTCACGTCGAGAGAGTGCCGAGACGCCAGCTCGTCCAGCTCCACAGGGTTTACCACAGGGGCAGGCATCATGGGCTTAAAGCCAGGGGGTTCAATGTCTGTGGCGCGCTCAGAAACGGGCATGATCTCATCTTCGTCTTCTTCTTTCGGTTCCTCGATGAGGATGGCTACATCAGCATGGTCCAGAATAGAAGTACCTTCCTCAGGGTTGGGAACACCCAACTGCGTCGATACTCGAGAATTCCGCCCGCTAGGGAGGGTGGCATCAGTTCTCGCAGAGTCGCCCATCGACATACGAATGTCCATTTCACTGTCTGCTTCGTTACCAGACTCGTCATAAGTGACGCTCGTTGGAACTGTAGAGAGGCCTGAGCGAGAGATGCCCTGGGAATCTCTGCCTTCGAGCATGCGGGCCTTGGCGGCGGCAATCTCCTGCACAACATCTTCAGCCTGGACGCCCTCATAGTAGATGCGAGGATTCTTGGTCAGCTCCCAGTAGACACTGCGAATCTTCATGGCGAGAACTTGAACACACAAGCTAAGTGCGATGGCTGATCCGACAATGAACGCAGACTCCGCAACGTCAGTGTTGCCAGACTGAGTAGGGTCGCTAATGACAATCCGACGAGTGATATCCCCGAGAACAACAGCGAGGAGGATCACGTACAGAGACCAATGCGACTCGACGAGCTCAACAAAAGTGACCGACTTGATCCTGCGAAGGAAAGAGGAGAAACGAAAGTGCTCCGGCAAGTTGCGGTAGAAGATGAACTGGAAACGAATATCATGGAAGGCCATCATCTCATGAAGCTGCCAGTACTGCCAGAGATCGGGGAAGTGGGGGAACCACCATTGGAAGTTGCGCCAGTACGGGCCGCGATGCTTGTGGATACGCAAGCGGAAACGAGTGTACTTGTCCTTGAGCTGGAGGTAGGTTACCAAGTCGACCTTCTCCGTCTTCTTCCAGCGGGCGGAGAGGCGGAGACTGGTGAACATGGACCCCAAGACGACAAGGGAGTAGAGAACGGCGAGAAGAAAGATGAAAACATGAGCAAACTCGAATGAAAAGATGATGTCCTTGTCCGGTTTAGCGCTGATTTCGTAGAAGATGAATGAAAAGGAAATGATCCCCAGGATCATGAGCTCCCTGTAAAGAGTTTTGACAATGGTTGCCAGGTGGTGGTGCTTGTGAGTGACCCAGTGTTCGAGCTTGTGAAAGATGACCTCGAAGCCCAGCGAGAGGACGATGAGAATGACGAGGAGCCATTCCGAGAGAATGGTATTGACGCCATATTTGTCCGCCATTCAAGCTGTGAGAGAAATTTGGGACCGCCCCGTGAGATCAAATATTCAGGAGCAAAAGAGGGGTTGCCTCGGCTTGGAGGTAGAGGACTAAGCAAGTGTCGTACCACTTAGGAAAAGATGATCCTGAAGGGCAAAATAAAGGTGAACAGAGTAAAAGGGGAGCGGGAGGCTGGGTAGGGAGTGAGGTGAGGGGAGGGTGTGTGAGCGGAGGGGAGGGATACGGGAAGGACAGCAGGGGGTGGTTGCGGTTTTGATATAGGGAAATGAAAGGGGGCCGGAGGTAGGAGAGGGCCGAGGTGCGATTTGCCGTGGTGAAGAGAAAGTGTGTGTTTGGGGGCGAGGATGGCGGGTTTTTTGATGATAAGACGAGGAGACAGGCTCCTAGGAAGGGGTGTTGCAGATGGGTGTTACCAGAGTGGAAAAAAAGGATGCAATGGCGAGAAATCGAGGGCGACCGTCCACGGATTGCTCGATGCATGTGGTGTATGAGAACCGGGGCAGATCGACCGGTCCAGTTCGCACAGCAAGCTCCACGGCAATAAGGACGTGTGCACGAAAAGTCGCAGAAAGCTTTTTTTCCGCTTGTTTTCAGATGGACACGCGCCCCATAGTGGTGAGAAGGAAATTGAAAAAGTTGGGATGCGATCCGTTTTGGTTGCCCCGAGGACCACATCACGTCTTCGACTTGGCTGACACACGAGCGCATGCGACGTGGGGCACTGGGCCCCGACGTGCGATGGCGTCCACCTCACAACGTATCCGGGTGGAACGGGTGGCCGACGTTGGCCATCACCACCACTGTACGGTATGAGGGTTGGAAGGGCAAGGGCGCGCGCCAATCACAGATCGGAAACCTTATGAGCACAGCTATCTTGCTTCCAGCAGATGTAGATTTCTAGATCGTTATCGTAGGCTTTCGATTTTCTTATCTGGTTTTGTATGAGAATAGAAAACCGTTTACGGCAGAAACGATGTCATTGGACAGTTGCCCGAGATTTATTTTAAGTGGAAGGGCGACATGCGTGATCATACTGCAAAATGGACTGTACAAAGGGAATGAGTCTTGCGGCGATTGACGAAGCACCGAAAGGCTGCGATTCAAGTCTCGAGACATCCTTAGAATGGCATCCAAACAAACTTGAAATTTTCAGCTGTGCATGACGGAAGCGAGTTCAGGGGGCTCGCCGGTCGCAACCCCGCCGGTCGGGGGACAGGGCCCCCCCGGACTCCCTGACTGTCCGAGTGACGTATTTCCATTGGCAGAACAGCTGGAAACAGACGGTCGCCTGCTCCAACCAACCAAGCAGGCAATTTCTCACCATCCTGTAGTGCCGCCTGATGGCCACCCATTGCCATTTTGGGCCTGCCAGGGCCAGCCAGGGCCAAGCGCTCATTGTCAGGTATACACCTTGTATACACCTGAACAGATCTTTTCCGGGCAGCTGCGTAATGCCGCACCACATGACGACGGTTCAATCACCAAGAGGCGCTTCTCCCGCAATTTTATTAAGGTAACCACATGACGACCGTTCAATCACCAGGAGGCGCTTCAGGAGGCGCTTCTCCCGCAACTTCATTAAGGTAAGATGTCCTTCGCGACTCTTCGATTCCGGACGGTGTAGTTGACGTTTTGTTGTCTGTCCTTGTCGCGGAAGGTAATATGCAGCCTTTTCTCCCCCTTTAAGAACCCATCTCTGCTTCTCCCTTTGACGGGAGCACAAGCGGAGCGTTAGTCTTTTTTTCTTCAAGCTGCAGAGCGCGCGATGTGTGCAATAAGACACAAAAGGTACCCTTCGAAGGGTACCTGAGACAAAGCGCGGTGGAAGTGGGGCTGGAGTGTTTGAACGTGAATGCACTCGTTGTGCGCACAGGGCGCGCGTAAGGATAAGCCCTATGCGTCCGCTGTGAATCGGCGCGTCCGTCGGTTGCAGGCGGTCCGACACCACGGCGCCTGCGCACCGCTCATCGCGCTCACCCGCGACGGCGCCGGAATATGCCACGATAAGTAGTGTCGGTGGCGGTGCTGAAACTCGCCTGACATCCTTTCGCAGTAGTCGTAATGGAAGTATAATAATCACACGATTCTTCCTCGCGTTCGCCCTCGCCACCAACCTGTGCCACGAACCGTCCCCACGAACGCCCCGACCCAATTCCGTCCGGACTGTTGTTGAGCGTTCTCAGCCTCTCATATGGGCCCTTGTTGTCACACAGCGAGTCCTGCCCTCAAATCACACAGCACAGGTGATTACAAATTTCCACATTTTCTCACGTTTTTAAACCTTCTCATAGCAATCCCTCATATACCATCCCGTATTGATCCATGTTGATACTATACCACTTTCGTTGTGCCCCAGCTTTTCCATTCACAGCTCCGCACCCTCACCCTCTCGACCTTCTTGGCCTTTGATTGCCCGGATGCATACAGTCTTCTCATACACGCAACACACACACCGCAAACTGAACTTTCCAAGGTTGAAACTTAACCCCTGACGTGATTTCAGACTCGAGTTAAGAGTTCCAAACAACGCCAAATACCCGCTGATGTCGTCATTGTCTTTGTGAGATTCTCGCCGTAGACGACTTAGTCTCACCTCTCCGCCGCCACCCAAATCGTCATTCTCTCCTCGTCCACCTTCCTTGGATTATCCTTCCCACCTCCCTCCTGCAACACTCATTTTCGATTTCCGCACTTCTATCTTCCTCTCCCGTCCATCCACATCCTTTCTTCATTCCGCCTTCTACGTAGACAAACCTCGTGTCCAACCGTGCTGCACGATTGTTCCTGTTCTTTCGCTCTGATGCTGTGCTGTACAGTACATAGTTGCGATGTTTTGTATAATCCCTATCATTATTCGTCATTCAAACGCTATCAAATTTCATCCAGTCAAAACCCATTCCTAATTCGGACCGCCCCGCTCTAGCCGAGGACCGCTATATTCGTCCCGACTGGGATCGCACTGCAATTACACTCTCTTCAACAATTCTTTCCCATCTTCTTTTCTCTTTAAGCCTTGAAGCATACAATTCACGATATAGCCTAGCCCGCTTTGTACGCTTGTTGCTACGCTTGTGCTTCGCACGCTTCATTACCATCTTGAAACCGCTTCGTAGCATTCCGAACTAACGCTTAACGCCAGCGCCTTCCAAGATGTAACTCTCCCACTGCAATGATAAGCCCTTTCGGCTGAAACACCCTTGATCTTTACTTTGCACGTGTAAGGTAGGGTACAGTGGAAATGCGAAAATCCAGAAGGGCAACCTCGACATGTAACCAAACCTCCAATGATATGTACAGTACAGTACAGTATATATGTTATGTACACTCCCTCAGTTGCCCTCCGTGTACCTCCCATATCTCAAAGCTTCAATGCTTAACAGACAAAGCAATGTCATACGCTACTGCCTACTGCCTACCCTTTTTCAGAAAACGACCATCAGTGATTTTTAAAAACTGTCAATTAGACAAGCCATACTCAAAATAACAGGTTATGGGGACATCTGAATTGACTTCGTCATAGCAGAGCCTGAGCACGAAGCATATCGTTCCCTGGTACTGCTAAACGATTGCTTTTCACGCGGTCCGCAGACTACAGCTGTCCTACAGCCAGTACTGCTAAACGATTGCTTTTCACGCGGTCTGCAGATTACAGCTGTCCTACAGCCAGTCCTGTGGCCATCTTAAGTTTGAATCTTTGTCTTGCCCCGCATATGTCGTGAATGGCATGGCACGTATCTCGACTTTCGGTATTTTTCAAGATGACTCGAAGCTCTTCGACTCTTGATCTTCCGTAATACCGCCTAATCGCCTTGAACCTCATTCCATTTCAGGCAGATTTTGAATCTGGTCTTTCTCCTTCACAATGAAAAACTGATTTCGCTCAGCATATGCACCTGTATGTCTGCCCTTTCCCGTTCTATATATGATGGTACAGTATCTCGTCATATCACAGAGGGCGACATGGCCCATGTCGCCCTCTGTGATATGACGAGATACCCTAGTTCTCACAAGTGAAAAACAAAAAAGGGGACAACCACCCCTTGATGACAACCACATTGTTTGGCTTTCTCCACAGGTGTGTGTGATTTCAACTTCAGATTCAAATTGGGGATGTCGACACAAAGCTATGCAATGTATATTCAATCAATGACTCTTTCGATATCTTTTTTTAGGGTGTTTAATACTTCTCTGACTTGGTTTGTTGGTGTCGGACGAGGAGAGCCACCTGTTCGTATTAGCGGCTGTGAGGAGCCGGGAGACACCTCCGACGGATACACACTCGTGTCGGTTCACTTTGCGTACAATATTCCGTTAATGGCGTCAAGTGGTGGGAAATTTGGACGAGCCCCGTTTGCCGTTCCAACCAGGGTCTGATTCGCTGTTGTTGAGGCTGCAAGTGCACTTGCACGACAGGTGCATTTTACAGATGCAATTCAAACGGATGTTGATATTTCTGTACCGGAAGAATTTATGCGCCAAATGCTTCAGAAGATGTCTCTAAACTTCAGTACAGTGTCTCCTCCGTATCTGTGTCTTGTTTCAGAGTACTGTACCCTTGACGACTGTACGTCTTCATGCGGAAGCTACTTGCTGCACACATCAAGCATCCTTTATACGAGTACCATAAGAACCGTTCCCAGTGGACTCACGGATACAGCGAAGTGGAGCAACGCAGCCTCCACTGCTGTACACAATTTGTTCCGCTTCGTGCCAATAACACCTTATGCCAGCTCCCAGCAAAGTCTCAATATTGCTTTTGTTGTTTTGTTGTCAACAACCCTGTGACTCGTCGTTGTATACCTCCTGTTTTATCTCCTGATCTGCTTTCCAATGGTTCCCGGGACTTGTCCGAACACCCCATCTTACAATAACGAAGTACAGTATGAATTTACGTGCTCTATGTCTAATAACTTCGGGGACCGAGGAGTCGGGATAACCAAAGTATGTTGTTGGTTGTGCAGATGAAGGATCGATGAGGGTTTATTGACGAGAAGCGAACTCG